AAAATGTTTATTTAAAAAAATTGTACTTTGAGAGTAAAACTTTTAATTTGACATTATAACAAAGGTCACTCATTAAAAGTGTACTTAAGTGTGTTCAGAAACAGTCGTTAAAGTCTCTCTCTTAAAGTCATTCAAGTGGCCTTTTAGTTAATTAATATATTATCTGCATGTTTTTTAAGTACACTGCAAGTGCAGATTCAATATAGTTAAGCATGCTAAACAGATCAAGCTATTTTCTGATTCATCTCGTTGTCTTGGCAGATAAACGGTCAGGTTCTGTACGGCCGCAGTCATCAGAACGCCTCTGCCATCATTAAAAGCGCCCCTTCAAAGGTCAAGATCATCTTCATCCGGTAGGTCGAAGGTTGTGGCGTGTAGGTGTTGATCTGAAGAGATTTTGAAGCCTGTTGCAGGCTGACACGTGTGGTGTGTGTGTGTTTCAGGAACAGAGATGCTTTGAGTCAGATGGCTGTCGGGCCGATGAAGGAGACGGACTCACCGGACTCACACACAGAGGTGAACTCACACACATCTGTGTGCCAAACCCTAACTCTAAAAGACTTTATTTACTTCATTTCTGAATCGGTTTTAGTCAACTTCAGTCCCTTGTGAAAAAGAAGTGCTCTTAATTGAACTGAATGTGCACTTGTAGTGTACTTCAAATATTAAAAGTATATATTTTTTAAACTGTAGATGCAGATAATATAAAAGTATTGAAATAAAAGGCCACTTAAGTTGAAAATTTAGTGTTTACTATTATAATTTTGCATTATTGACACTATTTTCCTATTTAATACTGTAAAATTGCTTTGACACAATCTGTATTGTTAAAAGCGCTATATAAATAAAGGTGACTTGACTTAAGTGACTTAAAGAGACACTTTTGAAAATTGACCTTTGTAATAATGTCAAATTAAATGTTTTACTCTAAAGTACATTTTAAATCATTGTGTTTTCAATCAACTTTTTTTGATGTGACATGTAAAATACTGTACTTGATTATTTTTTTTAACTGGAGTGTGCTATTCAATTTTACATTTAAACTTAATATATTTTAAATGCAATAAACTGAGACTTCATTACAAATGTGTGATCGCAAATATATTATAATTGGTAAAAATGCTTGTCAGTACATTCAGCAGTACTTTATCCATAATTCAAAGACAATAGAAGTAATTAAGAAATTACATAAAAATATATATATTCATTCCGGTAATACTTCAGAATAGGCAACACTTATTCACTATTAACTATGACTTTTCCCTCAATAAATTCCTAATTTTCTGCTTATTAATAGTACACTCTAAAAAATGCTGGGTTAAATACAACACAGTGCTGGGTAAAATAGGGACAAACCCAGCAATTGGGTTGTTTTTACCCAGCGGTTGGATTACTACCCGGAAGGTTAAACATTTAACCCAACC